GAAGAACCAGGGTACAGTCGCAATCAGACCAAAGCAGACAAAACCAAAGTGCAACAGTATAAAAAGTTCAGCATCTGACTTCTAGGACTCCTCACTCACCGTGTTTTGGGCTCCTCTGAAGGACTCCCTCCATTTCTCCAGCTCTGCCATTGTTAGCACACATAGCTTATCTTCTAAATTCAACCTGGAATCACTCTGCAGTGGCTGCTGTCTTTGGTCATTGTCCTGTGATACTGACATCTCCAAAATGTTGGGGTCTCCATTGCATTCGGGCTGCCAATTCACTAGTAACCTCTGATGGCCTCTCAGGGACTCTGACCTGCCACATTACTTCAAGCCTCCATATCTCCGTAAGCCCTTTAATCATGTGGCTTCTCCTGAAACTGAGACTGTACCTTCACTGGTAGCCTCTCCTAAAGACCAGCCCTTCCATACAGTGCCAAGGCTCAGCCCTTCTTCATACCTTCAAACAAGTGCCACCTGGGAAGCTCTTACATATTACCAAGTTTAGCTGCTGGTACAAGATACAGCCTTGGCCAGCTCTGGGCCACAGCTTCTGTATACTGATCCTAAGGAACTGCTTCCCAGAAGATCTTACCTCAGTGATGCTGATCGCTTCCTAATCATTGCTAATTTATCAGTTCCAGCTAATCTGTATTGACTGTCCACACAAAGCAAAGTGTCTTAGTAATCAAAGTCAGTTCTTGATTTCTAGGTGCCATGGCCTTCATTTAAAATATATCACTCAGATAGCCTGGTTAGAGTCTGTATTTCCTGTGAAACATCACAAGCTAGGTCTCCATCATCTGTATTGTTTTGGTTTCTGTATCTTCCATGCTCCCACAGAATGGTCCACTGAGCTCTGAGCACTCAGTGGCATTTCCAGCACAATCCTCCCAAAAATACATGGTCAAGTCTGCCAATTTTGTATTAGTTGGGGCTTTTGTCATGATAAAACACCATGACCCAAAGCAGTTTGGTGGAGGGAAGGGTTTATTTCACCTTACTGCTAACACTCCAACCTCTAGAGAAGTCAGGGCAGGAACACAAGGCTGGAATCCAGAGGCAGACACCAAAGCAGAAGCTATGGGAGTGCTGCTGACGTCTTGGTGTCCTCGTGGGTTGTTCAGGCTGCTTTCTTAGAGCATCTAGGACCAGCATCTTCCGCAGGGGTGGAACTGTCCCAGTGAGCTGGACCCACCAATATGAGTCATCAATTAAGAAATTAATCCTCACAGGCTTGTCAATGGGCCAGGCTGGTGGGGGCATTTTCTCAATTGAACTTCCCTCTTCACAAATGACATGTTGAGTTGACATAAAACTAACCAGAAACATGGCCTATTGTGGTTCTATATGAATTCTTGGATTGTTTTATTACAGCTCTGTGAAGAATGACATCAGAATCCTGATGGGAATTACATTCAGTCTGTTGACCACTTCCAGTACTGTCGCTATTTTCATGACATTAATTCCTAATATCTGATGATCAGGAAGGAAGACAGAGATTATTTACATCATCTAGTATTTTCTTTTCTGTCATTTTTTAATGATGATGAAGTTTTCAGTGTAGAGGTCTTTTACAACCTTGCTTAGGTTTATTTTAGCTACTTTTTTGGGAGCTACTATGAATAAGATATTTCTAATTTCTTTGGGAGTTTATTGTTCATATATGCAAAGGGTAAATCATTTTGTTTATTGATTTTGTGTTCTAAAACTTTGCTTAAAATGTTTCTTAGATCTGAAAGCTTTCTAGATGATTCTTTAGGGTCTTTCATGTGTAGATTAGATGGGGCTAGTGTAACACATTTCTTCCTTATTTTATTCCTGTGTGTCTTTTTCTTGTTTAATCCCATAGCTAAGGCAGAGAGCACTGTGTTGAATCAAAGTAAAAGCAGGCATCCTCATCTTGTTCCTGTCTTCAGGGGAAATAATATCAGCAATTTTTGATTTTGGTATAATACTAGCTATAGGTTTGTTAGATGTAGCCTTAATGTGGGTCTTTTTCCTCTTTCTTTTTGCCAGTTTAGCTAAGGGTTGGTCAATATTACTAACTTTTTCAAAGAACTGACTCTTTGTTTTTGTGTGCTCTTTTAATCTTTATTTCATTAATTTTTGTCTTATTTTTTATTATTTCTTTCCATCTGCCAGGTTTGAGATTGACTTATTATTTTTCCAGAATTTTGAATACATCACTAGGTTGTTTATTTGAGATGTCTCTAGTTTTGTAATACGAGCCCCTATGTCTGTAAACTTTGTCTTAGGGCTGCCTTGGCTGTGGATCAAAGGATGTTGTATTTATTGTGCTGTCACCTGACTATAAGAATTGTTAATTTCCTCTCCGAGTTCTTTAATGACCCACACTGTTCATTCAGAAGTGTGTTGTTGGGTCAGTTAAATGTTTGTATTACGTAGTTTGTATTGCTGCTGCTATCAGTGTCCTCCATCATCACAAGAATGCCCGGGGCTGCACCAGGGCCACTCTGCAGTGGCTGGAAGTGTGGTTGGAAAAGGAGTTATGCTAGGCAAAGAAATACACTTAGGACTTACAGAAGAAAATACACTGAAGTAGTAAAGGCCACCTTCTACTGTTGGATAAAATACTGACAAGCCTACATAGGAGACAAAAATAATACCAAGGTAGCAACAGATTTGAACTTGAGTATTGAATGGGTAATATGCAGTGAGTCCGATGTACATATGTATATAGCATATGAATTTATTATTCTCCTGTATAGATTTTTTTCGAGCTCATTGGTCACTACAAGTGTCTAAAGGCATTGCACCCAAGAAAGAAGACCAGTTGTCCAGATCATGATGCTTAAGTGCTGTGCTTATGAAGAGAATCAAGATCCTTTTAGAAGGGGCTGCTTCAAGAGCTAGGCCAAAGTAAAAAGCAGTGTGCACATGGAGAGTTTTATGGCAGAAAGTTAAAAATACTCGAAACCTGAACTCAAATCCAGCATCCACATAAGATGCAGACATAGCAGCATGCCTCTGTAATCCCAGTGCTGGGGGAGAGAGCCAGGTGATCAGTGGGGCTCGTGGCCATCCCAAGTCAATGTAACTGGGAAGCTCTACTTTCAGCAAAGATTCTTGTCTCAAAAAATAAGGTGGAGAGCATTTGAATACACCTGGTATCAACCTCCAAATCCACATACACATAAGCACATACACAAATATACTATACACATACAAAAGGAACCGATAATTGAAGGATTATAACCAATTGAATAAAACAGGACCCATGAGTAGTAAATAAGTAAATATGGCTTTCTTGCATTAAATGTCAGCCAGGAAACATAGAGGCAATGATGGGCATGGAGTATCTCCGTATGGCAATCATCTCAGTGGTCGAGGATTCGTGAGAAAGCTAACAAAGGAGTGTGAGGAATGGGATGTTGACAGTATTAGAATAGTTCTGATAATAAAAATCATCAGTTGCAGGGGTGGGGATGGTGGCTTTATAATATAGAAATCTATATTATAGATATAGAAAGCCTAGGATGGCCAGTAGTGGGTGAGTGGGCATCCTGTATCCTCAGGTGTGGTACACAAAGAAGAGCATCAATGCTTCTCTGTGATATTCCTTCATGTTAGGAAGACATGACCTGAGTCCAGGTCATGAAAAGAATATCAGAGTCACCCTGTAAAATACACAGATTATTCTCCTTACAGCCAGTGAGGGCTGATAGAGAAGGGTTGGCATGGAGAGGAAAAACAGGAGTTGTTTCTGCTTAGAAAAGCAGAGTCATAGCAGCTCAAGGCACCACATGCTCCATGATGTCCTGCACCAGAAAGAAATAAGAGAAATGACAAGACTTACGTTAGCTCTGTGGTGTGGAGGTGCTGCTGTATCAGGCTATTTCCTGACTTGAAATAGTAGGATGATGAGGCACTCCATCTGCAACTTGCTCTCAAGAGATCCAGAAGATAATTTATGATGGGGGCGATGGTAGGACAGAGGTTAATGTTGGCCTCTGAGGACTCTGGGTTGGGATATACAGGAATGCTTCATATGTTCATGAAGTTATGCAACTGTAAGGTTTGTTCCAAGAATTCTGTAAGGAAGTGATCCCAAAACAGCCTCATAAAGATGTCATCAGTGGCCACATACGGGTTCTTGAGAGAAGAAGAGTACACCAACTGGTTATCTAATACTTGTCCGAAATCATACATACAAGTAACACTATACAGACAGAACAGTAAGTGTATAGTGGGTGGACTTGGAAGCAACAACAACAAAATCCAAGAATTAAACAAAAAAGAAACTAGAGCTCTTGCTACATGCCATGATGACAGCTAAGGCAACTGGCCAACTCTGGGTGCACAGTTGTTCAATTTCTTTTTAAAAATATTTGAATATTTAATTTGATAAGATTTTCCAATATAAGTTAAATTAGAAGATCTTTATGGAAAGGTATTTCAGTATCCCTATAAAATTACATTTTGAAGATGCCATTCAACTACTAAAGAAGAAATAGGATAGCTTATTGTTGTCTTATCTCCACAATATTTATGTACAAGTTTGGATCAAACAATTTCTTCTCTCTCTCTGTCTCTCTCTCTCTCTCTCTCTGTCTCTCTCTCTCTCTCTCTCTCTCTCTCTCTCTCTCTCTCTCTCTCT